TCGCTATATTCACGGTGTTAACAATTCCGTGAATTCAAGAAACAGTGAATAAATTTTAAACAATCTCCATGTTTTATTTGGAAATTTGAGAATAAACTACGATAGATTTATATAGATGTACGTGCAGTCCATGGTCATTTCAGTAATTGTGAGTAGTACTGTGACTGTGTCATTCAATTAATTTTAATTATCACACTTTACACTTTAATTTAAATCGGCAGATAATAATTTGTGTTTGTTCAAAAGCTGTTTTAATAGCCAACGCTACATGTTTCATCAATCAAAACACGTGGACCATGGGTTTTGATAACCTGTGCGTAACTAATGTTACCACATGTATTTGTTACCTGCATTCTCATGCATATTCGTTCATGCAGTTTTTATCGACGTTTTGGTTTTAAAAAATCATTCAAATAAATATCGAACTTACTGACAAAGGAAGTGTGGAAGGATAATTATTTTTTCGTAGAACTACATAAAAAGTTTTATTTCCGTCCAGTGGTTTTTCGCCACGTTATAAACTACTGAAGATCTCGGGTGCACATGTACTCATCGTAATAACATATAGGAAAGTCATTTAACGTTTAGGGACTATTAATAACTGCACTTGTGTAAATTAATTATTTATAAAATCTAACAATTTTAAAATAACTTATCCTGTTCGTGAAATAACGACATAACGCTGATTGATGTCGTTTACATGTAGCTAAATGGAGACAAGGGAAGTAACTTTTATTACATACCAAAAATCCGCGAATTCAAGAAACCGCGATCGTGTCAGATGAGAGAAAAACGTGAAAATTACAACCCGTGAAATTAATACCCTATACAGTATACACCACGTAAAGGTACTTCTGTATTAATATGACTAATAATGGTTTTGCTGTTCTAAAGAAGAAATAAGATATTTTTAAGATATTCCTATGTAAAACTTTGGGCCCCTGTTGTGTCTGTACCCAACCCCAGGGGTCATGTTTTGAAGAAACTTGATTTTACACTACCTGATGATACTTCTCTATATGTCTAATTATGGCTTAGTGGTTCTTGAGAAGATTTCTTATGATACATGTATTTCCTATATATCCCAACTGTATACCTTAACCACCTGTTGTCGCCCTGCCCTACCCACGGGGGTCATGATTTGAATAACATTGAATCTCCATAACCCGAGGATACTTCTATGCCTAATCATGGTTTTGCTGGTCTCGAGAAGAAGAAGACTTAAAAAGACATTTACTATACATTCATACGTTAAACTTTGAACTCCTCTTGTGGAAAGATATGGTGAAATGATTCTTAAGAAGTTACAAATGTGAAAAGTCTACAGACAAACAGACAGGCAGATACCAAACAAAATGTTAACAGAAAAGCATTTATAGAATGTAAAGCTGTAGAATTTATAAATAAGAATTTTTAAATGATGAATTAATCTCAATGATAATAAATTTTTGTAACCGAAACATTAGAAAATTTCAAAATTTGGTTATATAACGCAGTTGCTAAGCAACACTAGCTTCAAAACCGTACTCATGGTAACCATAAAAATATACAGTTTCTTAAATTATGAATTTTAAAGGATTTTGAGTGTTTGCTTATTGCAATGCTAGCAAAAGTATTACTTGTAATTATTAATGGAAGCTAAAATTTCAAATATTTTGGTCACAGATAGTTTGCTTTCTGGTCATTGTGCATTAAGTTGCCATGACAACCCAAGTATAATTTGATTATGGAATCTTGTCATCCATACAATGTTTTGTTATATAATAATATTGTATCTGAAGCTATTTATTTTTCATTTATAACGTCTTTTGTGGAAGATCTCATTTCAGCCCTAAGAATTTAGCGAAAAAAATGCCTGAACGTAAAAGTAAATTGTAGACACAAAAGTGGTCGTTAAGTGTTCAGAATTGTACCCATGGGTTAATAAAGTACCAAATTAACTTTATCAGACCCAAATTAATTGACATTTATGCCCAGTCACATTTTTAAAAAAAATATTTATTCGTATCTATCAAAATCTATACCAAAAAAGGTCAAAAAATAACTGTTTTTTACGGAAGCCCTGGAGGGACATTGACTTACTTGTTAAGACTTATTTGTTATAACTTATTTGTTTTGACTTATTTGTTTTGAGATTTTTTGGTTAGTTCTAACTAAATGTAGGTAAGCTATTGAGAACGATTAATTGTAGTTTTGTAGTTAAACGTACAGTACTGGTGTGATTAGTGTTTACTGAATTTTAATCTGTTAATTACTGACGCCCTGGAGGGATACTGACTTATTTCTTATGTGTTTTGACTTATTCCTTATGTGTTTTGACTTATTTCTTATTTGTTTTAACTTAGTTCTTACGACTAAACTTTGAATTCTTGTTATTTAAAATTTGTTATGACAAGTTTACTTCACAAAAAGTGGCGTGAAAGATGGGGGCAACGTATAGTAAAAAAGTCCTTGAATTTATATATATTACTAACGACAAAATAAAATAGTAGTCATGTTCTTGTCTTCAATCATTATGGAAACTGGAAGTTACATATAAGAATTAAGTAATAACTTCTAGGAAATAAGAATTAGGTTATAACAACAAAAATAATATTTACTTTACAAATCACAACTGTGCTGGACGTTAAACTAAATTCGTCAATCAAAAACCACAGTTAAAATAGGACTAAACATTATTTTTTATTTAAAAAGTAAGCCAAGCAACAGGTTTCAATAGGCTTCTTACATTTAGTTACCTCTAGCTACGAAATATTCACAACAAATAAGTCAAAACAAAAAAGTTATAACAAATAAGTCATAACAAGTAAGTCAATGTCCCTCCAGGGCTTCCGTAGTTTTTGCATTGTTCTAGAGAAAATTTTCTGTTGCCATGGAGATTAATCGTTATAAATTATTCTTTCATTTTAAAATTATATGAGAGTTATTTTCTTTTACTTGAAAAATTGTATCTGCCACAAAAACATAAAAATTTATAGATTTTTGACCAAACCCTTTACCATTTTTCACTTTTAAGTTATCAAAACATCCAATTTTGTTGCTAGGCAACGAAGAGGATTTTTCAAAAAACCCACGCTTTCAAAGTCAATCTGTAAAAGAGAAAGTTCTCTACTTTTATGTGAAAATCATGCAAAATCTGTATTAGCTTGGTATTTTTTTTAAATTGACCTTGAATATTGTCAAAATCAAGGAAAATGCTGAATCAGCAAAAATGCAAAAACAAACATATATTCTAATGTCTACCATAGTACTAGCTTCTGATAAAATATCAATGTCTTGTGTGTTTTAAACAAATAAAGTGTGTGTCTTTATCATACCAGTAAATGAGAATCATTGTTAAAGTTTTTATATATAATTTCAGGCTTTAAAGATCAGTGATTTTCAGTGCCTTCAAATAGAAAAATTGGCTGGTTGCTAAGGAAATTACTTTGATCAGGTTTCCATAGTAACCATGATCCAAAACATTTTTTTTATTTTACATACATGAATCATAGGTCAAGAGAAATCTATGTGTGGAAAATCATTGAATTCTGAGAACCTGAGTGTATCACTCATATATCACTTTTGCATGATTTTTACACGGACTGGTACATAAAACACGGGCTTCCGGGAATTCTAGAGGTGGGATCAGGTGCCTAAGAGGAGTAAGCGTCCCCTATTGACCGGTAACGCCTCAGTGTTGAACCCTGTGAATTGGTCAGGTAAACGGAATATTGCGCTGGCAAATATAGTATAAAACACAGGGCCTATAAGAAATGGTATTTAAAACACATCAGCCAAACTAAAATCCAAAGATAAATTGTATTTGCTAACAAGATCATTATAACGGCAATAGAATTTACGACATACTAACTGTAATCGAAGTTGTTGAAATCCCTTTAACATCAACGTATCTTCAGTAGTCTGACTCGGTTTAAAATAAGATGTCTTTTGTTGTTTTTACTTCAACATCCAGAAAGGGTGAATATAATTTTAATTATAGCATTTCACAATATTTAATTTCATTCACACTTTCTGCAAGCCATTTCATTCACACATTAACTTAATATTAATATTTCACTTCAATGTAAAAGACATTATAGGGTCTGAAACATTTATTTCATTTTTGGATATTTTACTAGAGAAAGGAATTGTAGGCAAACCTGCGACAATAATGACGATTTCAAAATTCCTTTGTCAATTTCCTTTATTTATAGGTAGTAATATTATGTATATCTTTATCACTTGAATGCGGTGTTTTTGTCTCGATCCCAGTTGATTCCATATGCAGAAGCTTGACCATTTTGTGTACGAAAATTTCTTAAACTAAGGCAGGATTTTGACGAATGAATTGGAGTTTCAAAGGTATCAATTTGAATCTCTTCTAAAGTCACCATTTCGCAAAAATCTATTCGAGTAACAAAGACGTCGTTTGCAACTTAACTTGTTTTTAGATTGTATATGGAGCAAATTTATTTCATTTTTATTTAATCAGCAGTCTTGTCAGTTTAACCTCAACATTTAGTAAGTTCTATGATCGTTACAATGACATTGTCAGCAAATACAATTTATCATCAAATCAAATGCTGACTGATTTTTTTTCAATCATATTGCAAGGCCATTATATAAACACTGAATTGTCGACGGATTTTCCGTTATTTCCTGATCATGATAAGAAACACACGACGGGTGTGACCGTTTGGCAGGGGATGCTCACTTTTCCATGGCACCTGATCCAAAGTCATGTTTTTGAGGTCCCTGTTTGCTCTGCTCCTATTTTGTATTGTCCAAATTTAATGGACTTTTGAGCTTTTTCATAAAATTTCTGCGAATTTTTTTTTTTCACTTACCCGATCGTAAAAAGGTCCGTTTGGCAGGGGATAAACAAGAGCTGCTTTTTGTATTGTCCAAATTTAATGGACTTTTGAGCTTTTTCATATTTATTTTCAATTTGTATGCTATTATTTTATGCAGGTATGACGATCCATACTATTTGTACTACATATAGTATAGTATAGTACACATGGTTACGGACATCTGAGATTGCATTTATATTTTATTCGTCTTTTGTTCCATGCAAATAATCACTGATCTGTGAAACTTAAATCAGAAGGTATAGTATTAGTTACATGTTTTTTTCCAATGATATCTTCATCACTATAGATCTAAATGGATAATAAATATATATTAATTTACAACACTAATAGACTCTATCGTCAACATTATTAAATACAGTCGTTCACCATTAATTGTTTTGTCAACAAGAATATTAAAGTTTAAATACTATTTAAAACAGTGCAACAATAGTTACTTGTCCAGGACGTATTTTATGTGTATGGTGGCCCGTGCGGGATGGAAAACCATTCAATCTACCCACCTGAACTTTTGGAGACCATCGATTTTGAGAAGGAACATCTAGCAACGTATGATCCCCCAATTTCTTTGTCCAGTCCAGGGCCTAACTTAGTGGTCAGGCCACTTCAACGATCGGATTACAACAAAGGTGACACTGTGTTACATTTATTTATTAGTCTGTGCAAACCTTGTTTCATGAATACCGAAATTCCTCAATACATGTAATAAATTACAAACAGAATTTAGTAATACGATACTTTTATATAATTTTGAAAAAAAAAATACATCTTGATAACATACAAACATATAGTCAATTACCATGATTACGTTACAGGGTACATGGACCTTCTTCTCTCTGCTCTCTATATTCGAGATGAGGGGATATCTCAGCAAGAGTTTGAAGGTAAGAACATGTGTTAGTTTAAATTTATTTTAATAATTTCATACTATTATTACATTCAATCTCAAAAAAGACATCAGTTAAGATACATTTTGATATTTTTTGGCGCGGTATAGGCCTATGTGATGGTACATTTTCTTTGTTTGTAAGAAAATATCCTAAACCTTACGTTTCACTTCAAGCATATGACTTTTTTTTACTTAACACAATTATTCTTCAGAAATTAAACAGTGAGTTAAGAGCTGTTTTTTTCATACTAACTACTGCAACCTCAATTTAAAAAAAATGTTTTTGTACAATTTTCAATTAACCTTGGACTTTCAGTATAAAGGCGTGGTATTCTCGACGTTACATAATTAGCACTCTACAACTAGAGAATAACCGAATTAATTTAAAGGCGTCATTTTTTTAAGCAAAAAAAAAAAAAAAAATCGTAACAAAAAAGAAAATATCAGTGTATGTGAGACTTTTCAGACGAGGGGAGATATATGAACCTCTAATAAATACGGCGCGTATGCACGTCGGCAATCTAAATGACACATTGATTACTTTTCCTTATCACAACTTTAAAAAATCCACTAACTTTTTAAAAAATTTTGTACAATCAAGAAAATTGGTTACTTTTTATAAAGACTACGATGTTTCTTTCGTTTTTAAGTACCCTATAATTGAAAGCAGATTTGTAAATATGCATAGTTAAGATTGATAAAATCATCAAATGCATCACTGATTAACATTATTATCTTTCTATAACATTTAATAAATTTTAAAAGCCATCAATACTGTTCATATATTTATGCACGTTTGTATACAAAAACAACCTGTCCCACAGCCATGCTAAAATGGATACTTTTTGCGTCTCTATCTGAGGAGAGTTACAATCTCGAAACTCGCGTATTAGTGTCGAGAAAGTCACGCCCTACTGAAAGTCTAAGGTTAACTGAGAATCATACTAGATATAAAAAAAAATATAGACATGAGAACTTATCTAACTTTTTTTGTCACTCAGAGAGATGGGACAAAATGAAAGCAAGTGGTGGATCGTATTACATTACTGTTATAGAAGATACGTCCACACAGAAAATTGTAGGCAATGCTGTATTACACGTAGAATTCAAGTTTCTTCAACCGAGTGTAAAGGTAATTCTTAAGCCAATATTGTAAATATGATCATGATGTGATCATTTGTAATGCTAGATTACTGGTAATTATTTTGTAAGACATATTTTTATTTACTGAAAATTTTGGTTAAATTGATAAGTATGGCAGTCACCTCCTGTGTTTGAAAGGTCAGTGGTAGATGCCTCGTCTTTTGGCACCTGTGTACCCAGCTCTTCATCTCCTATATATATTTTACCGTTTCCTAGACTGACTGCGTTCAATACTGTGCATTGTTGTTGTTTTCAGAGGGGTCGCCTTGAAGATATAGCTGTCTTAAAAGAGTATAGAGGAAGACAACTTGGAAAACTGTAAGACCCTCAATTGGTCACATTTTTATACACCCCGCTTGAAAAGCGGGAGGGTATATAGTAATCGGGATGTCCGTCTGTCCGTCTAACTGTCCGTCCGTCCGTCCGTGTGTGTGTTACGCTTTGGGATACCCATGTCTTATCCGCAACTCCTCTTATAGAACTGAGTGAAATTTAATGAAACTTTCATAGAATCTTTATTACATATTGCCATTGTGCACCTTCTATTTTACTTTTTGATCAGACACTTATTTTGGGTTTCCCATGGCAAATTAAGGACACTGCTATTATATTCATATGGGAGGCGGAGTAGGGGGTATTAGTATCATTTAGTGAGCTCATTGCTCACAGTACCTCTAGTTTCATGATAAATTTTTATGTATACTTTAAATTAACTAATAAAATATAAATTTACTTTTTTTTTCTATAGGTTAATGGACGTGACAACCATTCTTTGTAAGAAGGTGGGGTGTTTTCGTGTCTCTCTACATTGTAAGGATTACTTTGTTCCGCTGTATCAGAAATTCCGATTTTATATAGATGATGCTGAAAACATCATGTGGTTGGATAAGAAGTTTTTACAATCGTAGAGAATGCCAATTGATATTGTGCTTCATTGTAATTTTTGTCATTGATAATAAACGAGATTTTTTTTAAAATAATCTTGATGTTCTCTGTTTTAAGATACATGTAGATCTGAGCTTTAAAAAATTCTTTCAAACTAATAATTTTTTTTTAATTTGAATACCTTAAATAACTCATAAACTAACTAAAACGCCTTTAAATGACATGCCTTTTATGCTTATTTTTATGCAACATATCTTAGAGTACAACTACATACCCCTCAAAATTCAACACCCTATATTCTTAACCTAGAGAAGTTGAATCTCATATTTTACTTTAATAGTTAAGGAATACGGCCTTTATGTACCCGTAAAATATTTTAAGAAGTTTGTGGTTATAGAACATGTTTTTTTCCCACAGCCAAACAAAAATTTATATTTACTCAGAATGAATCTTCACGCATCAATGAAATAAAAAAAATGTTTTAACATGATCATGTTTTCATCTTGAATTTTGCTGAAAACGATATAACAGTCGTTAACATTATTGGCAAACTTTTCGAACGGCCCCGTACAATTCAGTCTGTTTCCGGATAAACCCTTTCTTTTCTAAAGTTTACAAAAGTTCGTTAGAATGAGTAAACTTAATTGAAGAGGATCAGAAAATGACATGAGATTTTGAGTCGATAAAAGATAACGGCAACCCAGCCAGGTTCAAAAGCGATTTTATTCACTCAAGTATCTGAAAGCGGACATTAAATTAATTTTGCAAAAGTACATTTCCCGACAGAACGATCTTTTTCTTCCCTTTTGCCAATTTTCTGAGTCTAGCGCTGAGTACACTATCCAAATTTCAATCAGGACTTCATTTTACAAAAGAAGTTACAAAAGAACGGCGAAGTCCATTGCTTTTAAACGGTTTATGTCCAATGATTTATATGCGACTTTTATCCGTTTCCAAAGTTGATTGCAAGGGATTCATCAAAGTATTGAAAGTACTGAAAGCCGGACTTTAAAGGGGCATGGGTACAATTTCAGCTAAATTTTCAAAATTTATTTTTCCATATTTACAAATATTTAACTAGGGTCTTTCTAATGATCATCAAAAATTTGAACGTCAGTTGTTCAGATACAAGACAGATTTAGAGCTCCAAACCTTTGTTAAGTAAACAAGGATAGTGTCATTTTTTTGTTTACACAGGTTAATATACTAATATATGTTCGTTCAAAGTAGATAATTTCAAATAATGTTAATTTTAAATACGATTCAACAGTTACTATTGATTTTCTGAACATTTTGTTATAAATATGATATTTTCTATATGTAAACAAAAACAAGGCACTAGCCTTGTTTACATTATGAAGAACTTTAAGTTCTGTATCTTGTCTGTTAATCAACAAATGATGTTCAAATTTTTGCCAATCAATAGATGATGCCTTGGGTAGGAATTGTAAACATTAAAACTGGATTTAAATTTTAAAAAATCAGTTGAAACCGCGTGCAGGCCCCTTTAATTGCTAATGTATATTGTCTGATCTGAAATTAGTACATATTTAATGTTTTCCTTTTGGCCATTGATTTTTAACAGGTAGAGTGTGTATGATTATGATTTAAAACAATATCCCATATACCAGGAATTAAAATTAACAGTCCAGACCCCAAAATATGTTATGAATTTAAAAATAAAAAAATAATATTTCCAAAGAATTCTTGCATATTTCCTATTCAATCAACATTTTTTCTCATAATTCAAAAATTCAGTCTTGGAATCGTTAAGATAATGCACATAAGTCATGTGTATTTTATAGACATTCTTTTAGTTCCAAACAAACAGTACTTTTATCGCCAACTATATGTAGAAACACTGATACATGTACATTGTCAAGCGATTTCACGCATGTTAATCCTTAAAATTCCAATTCACTATCCTATTAATTTTCTAAAAATCAAAACAGAATATAACCACTAACATAACATCGACGAAAATGATATGAAACATAAAACTCTTCAACATTTCGAAAAGCCTGCGATATTGAAAATAGTTCGCATTCAGCAGCGTATGTGCACAAATTCCTTTTTCAGTTTAATTCTCAAGCCAAAATCTTGATCATTAACTTCTCCAACGATTTGGATGTTAAAAATATTTGTTTGAATATCGTCTCACAATGGGACTATTTTGTTTATCGGAAGCATCTGCATGCTTTAATGCTGTTTGGTTTTTTGTTTACTGTGCTATTTATAGTAAGACAGTCGATCATGATGCCTATAGCCAGGACTTTGCTTTCAGCAAAGCTCGACTAAAAATGCAATATTGAAGACTTGCACCAACGAAATCTCTGCTATTTTAGCTCTACTGGTCAGAGACCAAAAGAGCTTATGTGATAGAAAGGTGTCCGTCGTCCGTATGTCTAGCTGTCTGTCCGTCCGTCTGTCTGTAAACAATTGTTCAAAATGCTACTCCTCTTATAGTTTTTGTCTGATTTCAATAGAACTTCGCGCACAAGTAGATCACACTAATATACATAATATAGTGCATCGGTTTTTGATTTCGATGAACGGTGTTACCATGGTTACTAAAAGTAAAAATTTCTGTGAAATTCATTTTAAACGCTACTCCACTTACAGTTTTAGTCTGATTTCAATATAACTTGGCACACAAATAGATTCCGATTTTTTGATAAACAGTGTTGCCATGGTTACTAAAAATAGAAATTCCTTAAAACGCTACTCCACCTACAGTTTTCTTCTGTTTTCAGTACAGCTTGGCACACAAGTAGATTACACTAACATACTTAATTTCCCGAAGCAGTTTTTGATTTTGAGGAATGTGGTTGTCATAGTTACTAAAAATAGAAAGTTTTTGTGAAATACTTTCAAAATGCTACTCTTACAGTTTTGGACAAATTTCAATGTGTAAGTAAACTAAGATACATAATTCTATATATTGGTTTTTAATTTTGATGAACAATGTTGCCATGGTTACTAATATAGAAATTTCTGTGAAATACTTTCAGAATGCTACTCCTCCAACAGATTGGTCTGGTTTTAATATTATGTGTCCTGCAAGTAGACTACACTGAGATACATAATTATCTTTATCGTTTTTTGAAATGATGTTGTCATGGTAACTAAAATCAAAATTTCTGTAATGTTCTTTTAAAAGGCAACTCATCCTATACAGTTTTAGTCTGATTGCAATCTCGCCAAAAAAAAAAAAAACTAAATCAAAGATCATTATGCTATTTATTGCTGTTGCAAATTCAAGTCCAAGTATATGCACTACTTTTCTCTTCAATGTTATAAGTAGAAACCAGTAGAGCTACATGTACAGTCTCGGAAGAGACTTCTGTTTTTTTTAGCTCACCTCAACGAAGTTGGGGGGAGCTTATGTGATACCCTCGGGTTAAGGTTAAGTTTTTTGGAGCAGTTTTCTTTTTAAGTACTTCTATGTCCTATATTGATTAGACATGCATGGAAGATGTTTCTAATGTGTTTCATTGTACCAGTCAAAGTTTCAGATGCTGCAATTTCAGCAAAGGAATGACCAGGTTAATGTTTTTGGTGCAGGTTAACATTTTTGGTGCACTTTTTGGTGTAGGTCTCATTTCTGAGTAACTATAAGCCCTATGTTGACCAAACTTACATGGATGGTACATCTTAGGATGCATACTACCAACTTGCTTCGGATGCTGAATCTGACCTCATTTTCCGGTTGAGTGAACAGGTTAAAGTTTTTGGTGCAGGTTTCATTTTGAAGATACTATGAGCCCTATAATGACCAAACTTGCATGGATGGTACATCTTAGGATGCATTCGACTAGACTTGCTTCGGATGCTGAATCTGACCTACATTTTCCAGTTGAGTGAACAGGTTAAAGTTTTTGGTGCAGGTTTCATTTCCAAGTTTCTATGAGACATATAATGACCAAACTTGCATGGATGGTACATCTTATGATGCATACTACCAATCTTGCTTCGGATGCTGAATCTGACCTACATTTTCCAGTTGAGTGAACAGGTTAAAGTTTTTGGTGCAGGTTTCATTTCCAAGTTACTATGAGACATATAATGACCAAACTTGCATGGATGGTACATCTTACGATGCATATTACAAGACTTGCTTCAGATGCTGAATCTGACCTACATTTTCCGGTTGAGTGAACAGGTTAAAGTTTTTGGTGCAGGTTTCATTTCCAATGTACTATGAACCCTATAATGACCAAACTTGCCTGGATGGTACATCTTAGGATGCATACTACCAGACTTGCGTCGGATGCTGAATCTGACCTACATTTTCTGGACGAGTATTTAAAACAGGTTAAAGTTTATGGTGCAGGATTCATTTCCAAGTAACTTTGAGCCCTATAATGACCAAACTTGCATGGATGGTACATCTAAGGGTGCATTCTACTAGGCTGGCTTCAGAAGCTGAACCTGACCTACATTTTCCGGATTAGTGAAAAGGTTAGTTTTTTATACAGGTTTCATTTCCAAGTAACTTTGAGCTCTATGTTGAACAAACTTGCATGGATGATACATCTTAGGATGCACACTAATGGACTTGCTTCAGATGCTGAATTCGACATACATTTTCCAGATAATAGACCTCGTAAAAGTTATGGGTGCAGGTCTATCACCAAGAAACTATAAGGCTTATATAAACCAAAGTTGCACAAATGATGCATCGAGGGATGAAAACTCTCAATCTTGCTTCAGATGCTGGATTTTAATTACATTTTCATGATGAAGAACTAGTTTTAAGTTTTTATAAAGGACTATTCCAAAGTATCAAAATTGCATAAATTTTGCATTTTTGGATGTACACTTTCTGTTGGTTAAGTGTGTGACTTAATTTGCCTTACTTAAAGACAACATTCGTTGAGGTGAGCTCTGTAATCTCTGATTACCTATGTTTTTATTTGTCGGACATTCCAGTGCTGTGAGCTCTGAGATAAAAATTTGATTTAACTTTATATATCATAGATAGGATAACAAAGGTAAGTTTGAAATGGAAAATCAATTGATTCCTTAAATAAATGTTATTTCAATGAACTGGAAAATAGGGATTTAAAAGCATATTTAAACAGCCAATTGAAGGAAATAATCATAAAATCGGGCTTTCAAAATAAGTTGAGATCTATTTATTTTCGGTCATTAGTACTCGAAATCTTCACTGTAAAATTCTATTTGGCTTCCTTTTATGTAAGTTTGAAATTCTATTTGTTACGTCTCTCTTCTCATGATAAATATCCCGAAGTTCTTAGTGCAAACATTTAAGCTTCTCCAATGAACAGTTTTTTAAAACTTGAAAATGCGAACAAACGTTTTAAGAGATTTTTTTTTCATTCCTGAAGTGAAAGGTTTCCTTTCAACATTGAGATTCCATTGAATATATCCGAATATTTACCTCTCTCTGTTCCTATAGTATTATTTTCGATTATACAAGTTATTTAATTCCTGAAACGCAGATGAACTCGCCATTGCCCTCACTAATCACAATGCGTTCTACACGTAAGTTTCATGATAAAATTAAGATCCACTTACAATTAGAACTTATTTTCTGAGTTTATTAATTTATGCATCTTCGTGTCAGTAGTTTACATACCGGTATCACCGGTTCGATGATAAAATAAAAAGGTTTAAAGCTAGACCAAGTTTAACATTTTGCATTTAATTAAAAAAACGGTGAAAGTATACCACGTGATGAGATAATGCATGTGTATAATTCCTTGCCGTTAAAAAGTACTTTTCCCCTCCATTAAATAGAAAATGTTGGACGAAATAAACTTCAACAGTATTCTTAATGGAATATCAAATATACCAGTGACCCTTTTTCAGTGTAAATTAGGTAGCAGACATACAAAATACTATCAGTATGTATTTAAACCATTCTAAGTATATTGAAAATACATGTGCACTTGAAATAAATCAAGCCTTACAAAAGTTGTTGGCATAAAGTAAAGCAAAACTTCTTTAACAATTTCTTCTCAAAAACTAACTTAATAAAATTTTGTCTAGGTTGTTGTATATATAAAGGGAACATCATATGAGGATTTTAATACATTTGGTGTATTCATTGGTCATATCACTACATAATTATATATGCTGACGTTTTATTGAATCCTTTTTTAAATGAGATCAATAGATTTCTTTGACCTTTTCTTAAATTCTTCTGTTTGCCGTGAATAGGTACTTGATTGAGAGCATCTAGTTCGCTCTATACAAAAAAGAAGTAATACTAATCTTTAAATGACCGAGTATCCTTACAAACGAAAATTAAAACTGCTCGTCATCAAACGGTGATTTCATGGTATAAAAGTACAATTTTCAATAAACTTACATACAAAAAAATTTAAATGTTCATGCGTAATGTATATAATGATGAATTCGTGTTTTTTTCTTTCAAATTCTTTAAAATCGAGGACTCGTGTTTGTTAGAAGCTGGAGTTTAAATCCGTCATAAGTTTATGTTTGTATATGACTCTGGAAAATGAGAAAGTTTGTTTTATTCTACTTTGTGATATGGAATATAAAAAGTATAGGTAAGTCCCCATGAAGTACTTTGTTTATTGAAATATATTTTGTCGAAAAAGTGTGGGAATAAGATTGCTGAAATGAAAATTTGACAACCAATCTGTCAATGTTTAAATCTTGTACAGATTCAGTTATAACTTATAATATTTATGTTTTTAATTCATTGAATTTACCATGAACTTTAATGCTTATTTATTCGACACATGGGATGAAACTTACATGAAAAGAAAAATTATAATTTTAGCATCTGTAGACCAAATATATAGTTTAATTACTGATGGGTTTCGAAATATATGACATCTTTTGGTAGGTAATAGCCCCTATATTCCAGGACAGTCCAAACTTATTCTGTACAAGGTTGGCGAAAATTTTTTAATTAAAAAAATCATACCCGCGGTATAATAAAACAGAGCTCTATTCTTTAACGCGACAGGTATGCTTTTTTAATAGAACGACAATATTCTACATTTTTTAAGGGGGGTCTTTTGTGGAATTCATTGTATATGTGTAGTGGAAGACTGATTTATCAAAGAAGACAAATAAAAATATCCTTGGACACGAGGTGTATATATATATATATTTTTTTTTTGGGGGGGGGGGGTCCTGCCTGTCAACAAGCAGCTGAGGGAAGTTCCAATTATTAATTAGGGTCTCTCGATTTTAAATATTGCTGAAACTCATTTATAGTAATTCAAATTCTCACATTTAGAATAAAGCAATGTCAAAATTCATAATCAAACCACAGGCTTTTGGATCGCTGAAAAAAAAAATTGTGTGTCTATTTTTTGTCCAACACCCTCAATTTTTTTCGAAGCGATCTAAAGGCCTGTGAATCAAACTAAAAGAAACAAATCGTAAATGTACTTTTTCAAAGGAGAAATGGTTGTTGACAAAAATATCTTAAATTTTAAGCATAAAATGCTGTACATCTAGTCAGGTTTTAATTATCATTCTACACGATATTTAATTCGTTCTACTTTATTAAGTTTACAGTTAAGTTTTCTAAGAAGGCTATATAGTTATCACAAATAAAATCTGAGTGTTCAACACAGAGTTATAACACAGGGGCCAGTAACATACTATTTTTGATTATACGTAATCACTATACATACAATGTATGTATACAAAAAGAGATCTCTTTTTGTATAGTGTTTATGTAAAATCTAATATACGTTTTAGTATGTTACCGGCCCCTATGAGTTATAACTACTAGGTAATTAGTTAGAGTATAATGATCATACTGTATATTGTTTATATGCCCATGGGCCACAATGCTCAGATCTATGAGCCACCTTGCCCCCCCCATTTTTTACTCACTGTCTTTTTTTCTATGTTAAAAAAATGAAACCTAAAAACAATATAAATCAAGAGGTATGATCAAAACCACACTTTAACTGTAAAAGATTACTTTCTCTGTCAACTACATGTACTTATGGATGACATTGCCTATTGTGATACATTAAATCTATGACAGCATCGTAAAACAAGAGGCCCATGGGCGCCATCGCTCACCGAGCTCTTTGGATAGGAAAAAGCAGAAATCAATTTAGTATTGAAAAGTTCAAATTCAAACATATGGCCCACCATATTCTCGGGGTCACGATTTGAACAAAACTGATTCTACACTATCTACACTACCTGAGGACGCTTCTCTATAAATATGACCAATCATGACTATGACTTAGATGTTCTTGAGAAGAAAAGTTTTGAATATTTTTCCTATGTATTTCTACGTAAAACTTTGATCACTTAATTATGACCCCACTCTACCGGGGGACATGATTTGAATAAATTTGATTCTACACTATCCCAAGATGATTCCATATACAGGTGTCAGTAAGTACACGTAGTTGGCAGTAAATAGGTGATATTACGCAATTGGCAGTAAACAGGTGACAGTAAGCAATATTGGCAGTAAACAGGTGACAGTTAGCGGTTTACAGTTAACAGGTGACGATCATCAGTTGCTAGTATACAGGTGATCGTACGTTGCTTGCAGTTAGCAGGTGTCGGTAAACATTTGTCAGTAAGCAGTTGTCAGTAGACAGATGACAGTAAGCTGCTTGCAATTAAACAGATGACAGTAAACAGTTGTCAGTATAAAGGTGACTGTAATTTGCTGACAGTAAACAAGTAACAATAAGCTGCTGGTAATATACATGTGACAGTAAGCAGTTGACAGTATACATGTGACAGTAAGTGCTGGCTAACGAGACGGTTCTTCTTGAGAAAATTATTCTTTTAAAGATTTTATTTCATGTCAATTTTGATCAGTAAATTGTAGCTCTACCCTAACCCCATGATACTTACAAGTATCATTGTTTTAATAGTTACACAGCTTAAAGGTTCATATTTTTGCATATTGATACATCATTATTTAGTTTGTCCTAGTCATTTTTTAAGTTAAACCGACCTTTCTTCAAAGTTTATGATTTGAAAAAAAAATTATCTGCAAGAAACAAGGATTTATATGTTATGACTTATGAAGAGTGGCAACAATTGTAATTGTTATATTAAATAGCACCCAGTACATTTTTTTTTCTTTTTGCAGATTGTCAGTGTGCGGCTGGCACTAGAGTTGGTAACACTATTGGTGATAGGACAGAAACGGGAGAAACTGGTTTGTATGCACAGCTGACAAAATGTTTTATGTACATTACTGTTATGCACGTGGTCAAAAACATAAAGGTACACTACGAACCGAACATTCACTTTCAAAGGTGATAATCCAGCAACAGAAATCATTACCTGCTTCGTGTAATTTTACTACAAATCTAAAGAGTGTCACATGCATGAAGCATGCTTATGATTATTTGTACTATAAAATTCAACATTAGATATTCCAAAAGAATTGCAAATAGTTGAGGGTAACATTGGAAATATTCCACGAAATCATTCTCAAAGATAAATTTTACTACAAATCTAAAGAGTGTCACATGCATGAAGCATGCTCATAATTATTTGTACTATAAAATTCAACATTAAATATTCCAAAAGAATTGCAAATAGTTGAGGGTAACATTGGAAATATTCCACGAAATCATTCTCGAAGATAAATTTTACTACAAATCTAAAGAGTGTCACATGCATGAAGCATGCTCATAATTATTTGTACTATAAAATTCAACATTAAATATTCCAAAAGAATTGCAAATAGTTGAGGGTAACATTGGAAATATTCCACGAAATCATTCTCGAAGATAAATTTTAAAATTTTAAATTTTTGAATTCAATTTTTGATTTAATTCATGTTGCTATGAAGCAGTGAAGGGTTATTAATTTTTCCTTTTCAAAGTTGAATTTAGAATTACTTTGGCATACTTTATAGAAAAGTGATTATACATTTATAAATTGAGAGAAGGAAAGAAAAACAAGATGTGTTTGTGAAACACTATGCGCCCGACGGCAACAAAAGTTCAAAAAAATATTTTCAGAAGGTAAGTCAAGGTCACAAGGTCATTGACTTTGGTGTCATTTGAAGAACTTCATTAGTGGAGTAAGCACACCAAATATGAAGTCTCTATCTGTCATGGTTCAAAAGTTATGGAGAAAGTTTGTAAAATCTATTTTTAGCATAAAGGTCACAGTCAAGGTCACAAGGTCATTGACCTTGGTGTCATTTGAAAGAGCGTCATTGGTGGAGTATGCATATCAAATATAAAGTTTCCATCTCTCATGGTTCAAAAGTTATGGCGAAAATTCTAAAAAAGCTATTTTTAGCAAATATGTCACAGTCAAGGTCACAAGGTCATTGACCTTGGTGTCATTTGAAAGAAATTCATCGGTGGAGTATGCATACCAAATATGAAGTCTCTATCTTTCATGGTTCAAAAGTTATGGCGAAGGTTAAAGTTGAAAACAGACAGGCAGACAAACAGACAAACAGATAAACAGACAAACAGACAGGACAAAACCAATATACGCCTCGGATCTATCGATCCGGGCGCATAAAAATCAAAATATCAATTGACGTCTTTATGCAAAACTATAATTATTTCGATCGGGATTTCTTGGTACTAGTATATATATACGTGAAAACCTTTGATTTATCTATCTACAGCGGCTACATTTTTGCTTCAAAGTAACGACAACGAGTATCAAATTACCTGTTGTGGGTTTGTGACGACTTGGGATATCAGGATAGCGACTACGGGTACTTTGTACGCTGAAGTATGGCGACAGATTTCAGGAACGTGGACTCTAATGGGTGTGAACACAATAACTGTCGAGGGTATGTCTTGTTTTAATTAATCAATTTTACCACTGTAAGGGGGGGGGGGTTAAATATCTATGGAATCCCATTTAGGGCCTATCCAAAAAATATATATATTTGTAAATTCGATATTTCGTTTTGTCGAATTTGTTACAACATATTAAATACGTTATTGAGGGATGACTCTAATTCTTGGCCAAATTACATGTACCTAGTATTCGAGTATAACCTGGTTTGGTTTACGCTTCATAATCCTATATTCTTTAAATAGTTTACCCTTTGTTGAATTCAAAATTGTTATAAAGAAATAAATTCGTCATAACGAAATCTAAAAATGGTTTAACGAATTTAATTCTAAAAACAGTTATATCGTATTTTTCTATGGGACTGAACGTTGAATTCAATGACATGAATTTCATTCGCAATAACAAATTGCAGATTTTTTAAAAACTAATTTAATTCGTTATAACAAATTTTAGAATTTGATTTAATTAATTTAATTTGAATTAGTTATAACGAATTCAAAATATTTGTTATAAAAGAGTAAATTCGTCATAACGAATTCAAAGAAATTATAACAAGTTAAATTCCTTATAACAAATTCGATAATCCCTAATGTAGTCAAGTAAATTGTCGTTTGGAAATATATTTCAGCTGTATGCCTCCTATTATGTTGCGCTAAAACAATATTTATATCAAGAATCATAATTTATCATTTAAGCGGGAGATGTCGGCAATTTAAAAAACGTGCCTGTTGCAGCGGCGAATCAAATAGCCATTGACAATGGAGACTATCTTGCATTGTAAGTTTTAGTACTAGTTATGATCAGCTGATACTTTGATGTTTAACTTTTAACGTGGTGAAGATATTTTGATGTTTTACTATTACATGGTGAATTTTTTTTAAATTGCATTTACCTAATATTGATAAATCATATTTTGTATTTCAAATCATTTTGAAATTTGTATTCACAATGTGCACACAAATCAATTAATTGTGCTTTATGCATACCTCTAATTATAATTTTTGATGCAATGCAATGTTACAAAAATGCTGAAATTGATGCGATGTAATGCAACCTATTTTTGAATTTTGTTGTCAGTAAGAAAAAAAACAATCAAGTTGTATTGCATGCAATTTTTTAACCATTCTGGATTCGAGATGGAAGTCAATGTAACATTACTTGTATTGACTAAAACAGTTCCCTTTGTTTCAACATCTTGCTTTTCATGAGAAAAAAAGGCCACAACGCTCACCTGAGTAATTATGACTCTTCTGTTCTTTATTCACGCATTCTCAATTTATAGTCTCAATTCGCTTTAAATAATGTACCGCTTTTTAAGTAATATAATATTTCAAATAAATTTTATTTTCTGCCAGTCATATGAACCATTGTTAGTTGTTGATTAAAATACAACAATTGTTTGTTGTAGCTTGAATGATTGTCTTAGGAGAAAATCACATTTTATAGCAGAAATCGATATTTACGTTACTGTCGCCGATCATCGTGTAGTTTTTATTTTAAACCAAAAAGAAGTGTTAAATCATTTACATATCTTTTTCTGAGTAAGATTGTCCTACATTTGAATTATATTTTCTGAATATCACACCCTTCACACATATGCGTGTCACAAATTTTCAAAAAAATTAATATATCTATCAAATTTTGATGTCACCGCAAAATTATTACTTTTCTCTTTGGAAATTCAAAAGGACTGGAAGGATTGATAAACTGACTCAGTAGGATTAAGTTGTAACTTTTTAACATCATGAACACCCTTTCTACTGCATGGAATGGTAAAAACGACACTGTTTATCTGTATTTATGAATTATAGCCCTCCTTTTCTTATAAGTCCAATGGTTAAAAAATTCAACGATATTTACGTGTAAGTATTTATTCGCAAATTAAGTAAGAGAACTACACTGTTCCATATGGGTCAAATTGCCTTACACTCAAGCACTAGAATATGCCTTTTTAACAGTGGAATAATTGAACAATGCCATTAAAAGTTACGATAAATCTCAGAATGATATTTACGTTACCGACATTTACGTAACCATGTTTTAAAGTAAATAAGTATTAATTTCTAAAGCTGTTTGAACAGATTTGCGAGTGAATCTTTATGATGTAAATACTAAGAACATGAAGAAATATACACTGTTTCTTAAAATGTCATTTTTTCTGTAACAAGAGTGCAGAAATGCAAATGGAAGTGCGCATGCAAAGGTGAACATTTTTAATCAATATCTTGTGCATCCATGTGATTTGAAAATTGAATTGACATAATATTATTCACAAGTAGAATAGTGGTTTAATGATTGAATCTTTCCATTTTGAGCAATTGGTTAATATTACATAGTTTCGAGTGTAATACACGTTATCATTCGGAACGTAAATCTGAAACAAATCTTTCTTCAAGTCTGTATTTTCCTGTTTGTTTGAACTGATAGTGTACCGTCAGCGTAAAAAAATGGTAATATACACCTGAATTGTATACCAAGCTACACATTTTGAAGAAAAAAAAATCATTTTTGTAGGAAATATAATTCCAGCGTTGCAAGCGGTGCATGCAGTGGGGAGGGGTGGGGGGTGTTCTACATCAGGTAAAAAAAAGAAAGACGGCTGTGGGTGTTGGGTGTCAAGAAACTGGTTGAAATTGAATCCATTTCCATTTTTGTTGCTTTGCAAAAAATACATATATTAACATGTATAAAATTGGCACCTAATTTTTCCCATTTGAATGGTTGCTTAGACATATAATTTAGAAGGTATGCGTCTATGCTTGAATGGTACTGAAAATTCAATTTACGTTATATGAACGTAGAATATATATTGCTCTATAGAGCACATGTGATATGCAACTATAATTATTGACAAACCTTTTAAGGGTGGTGGGAGATCTTTGTTTTATTTTTGAGATTTGACGATAAAGTTTTCACAAACAATTAACCATTTCAGACATGTAGCAACGCGGGGAAGGGGGGGGGGGGGGGGGGCATGCCCCCCACCCCCACCCCACTTTTTTCTCCAACCCTACTTCAACTATAGTAAATGTTCAATGAAAGGCTAATTGCCCCCACCCCCACTAATAGTGATGTACGGAAAATATAGTGTAATAATTGGTACTGAAAGTAGTTGGCATTAAAATAAGTTCGCCCCTCCCCCCTCTAGGATTTTCGACTTTGAGGAAGTTTTCTCACCCCCCCCCCTCCTTCCCTATTCGTTGCCTTTTCAACTTTTCAAGAAAGTAAAAAAAAAATCTCTGGCTGCCCCCCCCCCCCCCCCCCGCTCCCCAACTTTCAAAACCGATGCTGCGTGGCTGCATTTGAAATAATCAAGAGATTAAATGGTGGAAGGGGGGGTTGAATTACATGAGTCCTCTATGGATAAATCATAACTTGAATTTTCTATTCAACCCTTTGTAAAGAGCACAGATAAGAAAATTGATAAAATTAAATAATTTGAAATAATATAATCATTTTCCCCCCGAATATACTTTTATTTTTGTATGATATCTATGTGCGATATTTACGTGATATTTAACAAACACTTCGTAATCAGGTAATGGTGAAATATTTAACCTTCTTATATTCTAAATAATGTGCGTTTTTCTGAGCAGATTAATAAAGAATCAATTAATGTAGCATTTTAGGGAATGTTGTCATTATTAAGCTTATCATCGGATTTGACAAAAACTTGTTAAAACAAAAAGAAAATAATTTCATTTAAATGAAAATTATGTCCATTTATTTTAACTAATAATTGAATCAAAGATTTTACACCCCTGTTAAAAATGTGCTTAAGCGGTTTCATAAATGTTTATAGTTAACAAAATTTGATGTGTATTATATTGATTTTGTATTTTAAAAAAAATTCTTTCGTTTCCAAATATGGCTTTTCAACATCACGTAAATATCTTGGTGTAAAATTAGCCCTCCAATCGCTTTTATTTCGAAGGAGGCCAACAAAACACAGCATGAAGTATGTAAATCAAATTGCGATTTTTAATAACTATACACTTTCATGTTTCAAATGACGTATAAAAGTGTTAATTTCAGTTCATTAATTTTTTTGACTTTTCCCAGGATCGATTTGGCACTATAAATTGAGAATGCGTGTATTATGCAGCAGATAAAATTAAGATAATATGTTAGGGCCTACCCTACTCTTAGACCTAACCTACCATTGGGTGACAAAATCTGAAGAAAAAAAAACTTGAATCTTCGTATTCTTCCATAAATATACGACTATTCATGGCTTTTCTGTTCTGAAAAAAGAGGATTAATATTTTCAGATATATATTCTTATGTTAAACTTTAATAAATTATTGGTATTTGTGTGTCCATCCTTCCCTTTGGGGTCATGGTTTGAACAAATTAGAATCTGAACCACATGAAATTTCAATCGCTCATAGTTGTCCCACTCTACCCCCACTTTATGATAAACTTGAATCTACACTATGTCAGAAAGCTTTCACATAAGTTTCATATTTTCTTGATTCTTGATTAGAATATATTTTTTAAAGAGCCAACCAGATTTTGAATATCTGTATTTCTTAATCCCCCCCCCCCTGAATATCATTATGACGTAGCCCTTCATTTGCTCTCTGTGCCAAGTATGATTGAATTGGCCGAACAATTCTGGAGAAGATCAAAATGTGAAAAGTTTACAACAAACACAAACAGACAAAGGACTTCGATAAAATAATTTTAAAAAAGCTCACTTGAGCCTTTGGTATGGGTGAGCTGGTGAGCTAAAAAAATAAATCAATTCAAGAATCTGATAAATGTATTCTAGTCCAATATCTATTCTTTGTATAGGATATGATGGATTAAATTTAATCCAGTAGTTAAGCTTAAATTCAGAATTTATTTTTAGCAAGTCTTCTGGGAACACGATAGTGCGATACAGAAGGACAAACAATGGAGAAGGGAACGGTAGAGACCAGATACAGTATTCCACGTCAGCCGACCACACGTTGTCTTCAACGTCAACGTTTGCTGCTTTCACTACAGAACGAAATATCGAATATGGCATCAGAGCAACCCTTGGTCCTGGTATGTTATTCAAAGTAGTCATAATGCATAATTTTATTGATAAATAGTAAATATTTCAGAAAGATAGTACTTTACGTGACTATAGCGCAACCCTCTGTCTCAATCTAATTAAAATTAGATGTTAGATCCGCTCGCACACTCGCTACACTGCTACACTGTTAGTGTAGAGAGTAAGCGAGCGGATCTAACATCTAATTTTAATTAGATTGCCCTCTGTCTATGCCTTCACGCAACTATTTAAACACAATCCTCGGTAATCTTATTCACGAAATCTACCTCGGTCTTGATATATTACCAGTATTTTTAGTCCTGGTATGTTACTTCACTACGATGGCCGATAGCGGCCGTCAATTTACATTAATGTTATGTGTGTAACGTTCACAGCATTTTCAACGAAACTCAATGACAAGTTACACTTGAAACAAAAAGTGTACAAATTCCATATACACTCTACACCAACTTTTGTGTAAAATGTCAGGAAAAGTTTCATGTACATTCTACATCTTAAGGTTGTATCAAGTAACAAAATAAAGAGAAAAATTCTTTCTTTCCTTTTTTTCTTCCCCCACATTGGTACCCCTCTCCTATTTTAATTTGTTCGAATAATTTTCTCTGTTTCAAGACACGCACGTGTTTCTTAGATTCGCACTAAGCTTATGCGACAAACTTAAAGATTCTGGAGAAAACTCCGAAAAGGCAACATGTAAGTTATAATAAATGATACAAGTAACAGCTTTTCAAAAAGCTTGCCTGACGTAATCAATCAATATCTGTAAGAGAAGTGATAAACCTTTTGAGCAATACTTTTTTGAGATGTCTTTTTATTTGAGAACCTTGTAAAAATATTTAATGTATAAATGTATAAATTTTTAACATCCGATGATGTCGATACATTCGAGTTTGTTTTTTGACCTCTGACGAAAAGACCCGAGATGATGCGATTGACTTTTCTGCAAGTAGATTGATCTACCCCTGGATCTAAATTTAAAGTTACACCTTTTCTGAAATCTGTTGTCAAATCATTCATTGTGAACATTTTAGAGAATGGATATAACTAAATACATATGTTGTAGGAAAGCATTTTATCCAATGAAGTAAACAGTAGTAGTTTGTGTTCATTGATATTGAAACGTGGGTACTATAATTTTTTGAGGACGAAATAGGTAAAACCAACATTTAGGCCTTTGTGGAAAAGAAATCCAAGATTTCGCACAGGTAATTTCTTTCGTCACATCGTCTGGAACCTGGTTGAACTGCATCGATCGTTTGTGGTGATTGGACTAGTCCATTAAAATATGGAATAAACCAACAGAGGGGAAACAAATTAGAGAAATCATTTCATTTGTTTTGCATGTCCATATTCTGATACATACGATTCATATGTTGTTTTAAGGAATAAGATATAAGTTGTAGATAGAATTTCTGAATCATAGGAAGATGGAGGTTACAATAACAAACTTATTTAATTCCATGGAAGTTAGCACCCCCATTCATACAATAGAACAATCCCAAAAAAAGGCGCGAAGATCGCTTACTTGTGACATTTGGCGCGAAAAGAGCGATTCATCCCTTTTGTAGAACATAAATGGACTGATCCAGTAGTATAGAAATGCAGAAAAAAAGATACACGGACACGTTGAAACGGTAAATCACATGGAATAATCTGTTTCATGCAAACAGAGTAAACAAAGTAAATACTGCATTATTTTGCATCAGTAAAATCATTGTTTCCCTGAACAAAAGTTTCTTTTAAAATGCAGGTAAAAGATTTCCAATGTAAATCAGCTTGCACAAAATCTAGCTCTCTGGGTATGATCTATTAGTTTCGGATCAAGCAATTATCAATCCTTATACAGCCTGACGCCGTGACGTCAGGCAATTATTATACCTCATTATAAATATTCTACACAACGCGTTATCTGATTGGTTCTAGGTTATCACGTGATCGAGCCGTAAAACTTCATATTTCCCGGCCGTCGGCACGCTTTTCATCATATTCCACCTCTTCGGAACACCTAGTGTATTTTCCCGCAATATAGTTCTCGTTCGTTGAACGAAAACTCCCGAGAGTAGTAGACGTCACAATAGCCTGGTTTACGTCACAAAATTGATGATAATGTGTTGAACAAAGGGTTTTATAGTAACTTTACGTAAAAAATGAAAGTGAATTTGAGAGCGGTGCCGAATTTGAAACTTTATCTTTATTTCAAAGGTTTTGCTTGTTTCGGTATAATAAACAATTCATTGCATGAATGTTCGGGAAACATGAAGACTTATTCAGCCAAGAAATATCATATTCCCCTCGGGAAATATGATTTTTCTTCGCTGAATAAGTCTTCATATTTCCCTCACTATCATGCAATAAATGTATAAAATTTAATCAATTTAATATCCACATTTATGCAGAATTGAAAGGAAAGAAAGATATTGTCTTTTTGTCGTTTGTGGGTCTTTGTGCATTCTAATATACGTAATTCGGGGGATGATGATGAAACAATTATTTTATTTCATAAAAGTATTGACGATTTGGTTAATTACAAATGCTATTTTGTCACACTAGAAATTACGGTGGGATCCCTGATGAAGGCGGGGCCGTGATTTACATTTTTTATACACCAATACGATATAAAACCGCCGAAACAGGTTACACATTGCTGTAAAAACAATACTGTCAATAAGAAATACCACTTTTCCTGAGTATTAAGAATAAAATTAAAATTTGTGAAAGTGCAAGGATGCGTCAATCAAACCCGCCAAAAAAAAAGTTTTAATAACTTTTAAATAAAATAAGATTTTAATTATTTTTTTTTTTTTTGTGAAATGCTATTAAAATATAAAAGTCGTAATATTATAGAGAAAATATTAACTTCAAATCTGTGTTCAAGTACCTTTAAATGTTACCACCGGCATATAATATTTGTGGCAAATTACTTAGTCTAACAACCAGTATGATGTCTAAATACTTGCAGGATCAGTTCCACAATTTGCGGCAGGTTTAGACACCACCAAGACCGTGACTGACGACACAGCAGTAGGAACCACATTACTGACGGTGGTAGCCACCGATCCCGGGGATACTGTCACCCTCACACAACAGTCGGTCACCCCAGCTTCTACTGCATTCAACTTTGACGCAACAACAGGTCAAATCTATTACTCTCGTATATATTTCTTTATTTACAAAATTGTAAAAAGGTATATTATCTCTTTACAACATTTCATTCAACGAATACAGGATCTCACAAAATGAACTAGTATTGTGTAAACAAATTTGAAAATCGGACCTATTCCTTTTAGAATTTAAACCAATAGAATTCTTTTTTTTTTTGGACATAATCTTCCTGCAGCAAAGTGTAAATCATGTCTACAAGTATAGGTTAAACCCATCACTATTCTAAGTACTTAGTATTTTTGATTTGACACTTCTGTTCTGAAAGCAACAGAAATCTTCAGCGGCCACCATTCATCCCTCTGTCATTGGATCATTGTATGATACCACAGTCAAAAGATACTCTCAAAAGGCAATATAGTGGCTAAAACTGCAGTTATCACTGTTTGTCTTTACGCATACAACTTTGCAATAAATCGTTTTTGTTACAAGAAGAGTTCATTTACTACATGTATATTTCAAAGAACTCGAGGGGATAGCCGTAGTAGTATCTTTATTGGCGTTTACATTAGAGCATCTCAATGTTCTACATAACAGCCAAACTCATTCTGGCTGCCAGATTGTTCATGACCCTCTCAAATGTATTGTAGGATTAAACCAATATGGTAGGGGTCACTAGGGGTCACAGTAATTGTTTTAAAAGATGAAACGTTCGATTTGAATATTTGTTACGTACAATAACATGTCAAATATCGACAGGATAGTACACAAGCTGTGGATAATCAATAATAAAATTTAGCAAAACAAAAAAACAGAAAAGGTTTGAATTAAAATCAGTCTGAACCTTCCTAATCTTTCATATTTTATTTTACAGGAGTTTTATCAACCGTATCCCAGCTCCCGATTGGTAACACGGTTTTTGTTTACCGGGCAACAGATGTGTGTGGGAATTTTGTCCAGCACACCTTTACTCTGACTGTTACTAATTATGTACGTATTTTATTTTTGTATCTGTCATCTTTTACCCAGAGGTAGATCAGAGTAACAAAGAGAAAATGCACTTCCACTTTATCACCAGTTGCACACCTCATCCCAAAGGAACCACTGACCCTGGGGCCACATATTTAAAAATTTTGCAAATTTTATCATAAACTGGCAAATTTTAAATAAAAGGAATGTGAGCTTTTGATTACTGAGAGTGTTTGTCATAGTTACTTTGCATCCTTCTTTGAAAAGCTGAAAACGAATCGTAAAAAGGCATACGCCATATTCGATTATGCTACGATATCAGCACCGGGAAATGCCCTTTGCATCCATTACATCTGACTGCTTTATTGTTAAGATTATCGACATGGGATGGAAATACGTGTTCGTGCTGGGTACCTGGTATCTTGCATTGCTTTATTTATTTTTTGCAGTTACGTGTAATTAGTTTGTTAAATTTGTATACTGCACTGACCTGTACAACTGTTGTATCTTATTATCTTGCCTAAGAAGAAGTACATAGTTATTTTCTCGCTACCGAGTGTGTCGCCTGTGTTGCGCAGTGGTTAGAGCGTCTGCTTTTTGCAGCGAAGTACGGAGTCAATCCTTACGTCGCGGGTTCGAATCTCACTGTGACACAGTAAAAACGAGGTCCCGTGTCGCAGTTGGTGCTGGCACGAAAAAGATCTCTCACTGCTCAATGGCCCTGAGTGCTGAGTGTAGGACAAAATTTGCAGCTCTCCACCGGCAAGTGGTGGCGTCTCCATATGAGTGAAAAATTCTTGAGAGGGACGTTAAACAACATACAATCAATCAATCAATCAATCATTGCTACCGAGTATTGTGTAGAATGCGTCCATCTACACCGATGACAACTGATTACACTGAACAGTGACTAAGTGAGCGACTTATATTTCCAGAGAATTAAAGAATACAAGTACATGTACATTTGTATAGACATCAACGGCAAACTAACAACTATAACTATATGATTTTAGCTTTTCCATCATCATGGTCAGATTCTACTTTTTATTTAGGTCTGGGTCATTATCGTTTCTGGTGTTCAACTCTTCCAACTCATTCGGCACTTACAAGTTCTAGTATGCTTTGGTAAAAACGAATTTTAATCCGAGACAGGCTACTAAAAATAAGTTGATGTTACAAGACTTTCAGCAGTCTCTGTTTAAATAACTTTCAGTTTTGTGAGAATTTAAAAGATCGATCACTGCTTGAATACACCTTTTTCATTGATACCAAAGACATGCGTGATTAAAGGAAACAACTTTTGGTTAAAGATTGACCAATTCTGAAGTTTGGAAATGGTGACGTTGTGCTTTCTGCTATTTTTGAAAGGTGGGGGTTAAATTTTTGAGTAAGTAGCTGACCTTAAAAAATAATGCTATTTCCTTCAGCCTCCGGTGATAGAAAACCTTCCAGCTTCCACAGAAATCAATGAAGACGTGAGCTTGGAGACACAGTTGTACGTGTTGACAGTTACTGATGCCTCATTGGCTGACACGGTCACGTGTACCATAAACAACGTCAATCCTTCTTTGACAGCTCTGTATCTCAGATATGCAACAGGAACGTCAAGTATGATATTTATAAATAATTTTGTTTCAATCATTCACTAGATTTTTTGTATTATTATAAAACATGGTATTCATTCTTCATCAATATCGATTCAGATTATGCCCTCAATCTGCGGGCGAATGCTGGTCTAAACTATGACGCTCAGAGAGTTTACACGGTAACCGTACAGTGTACAGACACAAAGGATACGACAAGTGGGGTCTTTACAATATATGTCCAACGCAACCAGGCACCAGTGATAACAAATCTACCCTCAAGTACGTTTAGCATCAAAATATGAACATGAAAATATAACGCTGAAAATTTTGAATGCATTTCCGTTGTTCTTATCTTTATTTGTCATTTTGCATGTTTCGAATCCTTCCTATATTGAAAAAAAAACGAATCATTAAATTAAAAGGTGGGAAATCGTTACATAATTTGGTAAATATCGATATTATAATCATTATGTATAAACTGATTGTAGCCTCCAATTCTCGTGACATCGCGTCGGCCGGGGTTTCTATTGGCACAACGGTATTCACCGTCACGTCTACCGACAATGAAAATGACCAGTTATATTACAACATGACGTGTACCCCAGCCACCTGTCCATTCAAAATCTACGACTGTGAGTACAGTTCAAATTGTTTTGATAATCAGATATCTAAATTATAGTTGTCGGTTTTGTCGTAACCACTTAATTTTTAGCTAATGTCTCGAACAGAAATTGTCATGTAATATTTGCATGGCTTTTAAAGTTAATTGAATGAAGACAATTACGTATTTCTGCATCATATCTGGCCATCCAATTTCAGCAACCTTTTTGGGACACAAAATATTGCACTTGGTTGATTTTGTGATCAAATTTTGAACATTTGCCAATCTTTACGCAGTCATCAGGCTTTTTGTGGAAACTTGTTTGTGTTCTTGTTCGGGTCTCTTGTAGTGTTCTTTCTTTTTCTTCAGAGCATTAATGTAATGCTGATTAGAGGATGCTTTGCTAGTAAGTTGTAATTGGCCAGTTTGCTAGAAATTGCTGAGCCATCATCATCATCATTCTAAAAGAGGGTTCTTTTCTTCTAACACTGAACAATTCTCAGCTGAGCATCAACTAAGGCTGTGGAATTTCTGGATTCCATATAACTCATATTATCAGTATTATCATACCCAAAGTCATCTAAAGCCAGACATCGGCTTGCGTTATATCTCATCTAGTTCCGTAATGAGCTGGATAGCAAATAATTTTGTACAGTATTGAGGTATGACTTTAAAAATGCATATCTGTATGTGATATTATTGTTGTAGCCGGGGCTATTCTGGTTGACAAAAGCTTAGCCGAACTCAATGACACGGCGTACGATATGTTTATTTACGTTTACGATGGACATACATTGGTGGGACCGCGAAGCTTGACCATCAAAATCACAGGTATAGATACTATACAATGTCAAACCATTATTAAGGTCTTAGAATGCAGGTCTTATGTTTATATTTTTATTGCATCAACCCTCCTTCTTTGGCTTTTTGGTTTGGTTATGTTCTTAGGAATTGAATAGACTAAAGTTTGAGGTAAGAAACAATCTTTTGTAGTGGATATGAGAACAATCCCAATTCCATCTTGATGAATATACATTTTCTGTCGCAAAAATCTGTTTAAATCTGTTGAACGCTTCCCATACAAAACTTTCTTCCCATAATATAGATGTGAACACGCCGCCTGTGGTGACTAACCTGCCCACCACGGTGTCGGTCCCAGAGAACACCGCGGCCTCCACCACGATCTTCACGGCGACCAAGTCTGACGTCAATTCCCTGGACACCCACACGTGGACGTCAACGATCTCTCCGGCCAGTGGCTCGCTCTATTTCACTATGGACTCCAGCAGTGAGTTCATTTTCATTTCGAAATCAATACGTTTTGAGCCTTATTGATGGTAACGCTACAAGTGCAAATCAGGGGAGGTAGTGCTATATAAATATATTTGAAAATTTTCTGATTATAATGCAGAATTTCAGTGACACCAAGCAAAACTTTTAAGATATTCAGGGTTTTCAGTTTTGCTGAACGTCATTAGAATTGTGTAGAATTGTCTACTTCAGCCTTTCGAAATATTGCTTTGTCTACAAACTTTATATTATCAAAATAAAACTTGATTAACTTCTCAAATAGGCATTATAATACCGATATTAATTTTACTTATTCCAGAAAAAATATTGTTTACTCTTTTTCTTCTATACTTGATAATATTTTTACTAGTAGAACTACAGTCTTATTAGTTTACATACGTTACTTTGCAAAGCTGGTGCAATAAAGACAACATCGTCTAACATTGATTACGAGACCATAGGAACCACGACATTTTTGTTAACTGCCTATGTGTCTGATGGTAAAGACCTGGCCAGTGGAACTGTAACGATATCCATTACAAACCAGAACGAGGCTCCGCAGTTTCTCCTCTCCACCTACACCATAACAGGAAACGAAGGCTCGGTAAGATCAGCATCCATACATACACCGTTACACGTGATCGTTCTTAAATTCATAATTTTTGTCATCCACGACTCGCGTTACGCGATAGCAACTCTGTTTCAAAGAATTACATATAATTGCTCGTCTATCGTTGACACGATTGTGTCTCCATTTTAGTACTGTAAACCAACTTTTATTCCCGTGCGAGAAATTTTCGCAAGGTTCGCGAGAGCTCCGTCATTGCGAATATTTATCGCCGCGAACCGGTCCTTAAAGTCTATGTGCCTATTAACAAGAAATCCCAAAAAAGGCTTTATCGCGAAAATTAATCGCGGCGAACTAGTTTATCCCTGGTAAATCGCGAAAAAAAGTAGTCGCGAATAAAAGTTGGTTTACAGTATCTGTTTCAAAACACCAAAACACATCATTTACAGGCGGGATCTATTATCGGTACGCCAGCTTTCACAGTGAGTGACCCTGATGCAGGAGCCACCCAGACATATTCACTTAATTGTCCCGAACTCACTATGAATCCAACAACAAAAGTAGTGACGTTGAGCACTGACTACGACGTGGACGCTGGTAATCCAACGTCATTGTCATGCACAGTGACGGTGTCTGATGGTGAACTCACAGACACGGCGACTCTAAACGTTATTATCAACAATATCAACGACAACACCCCAACATTTACTGCCAGTTCCTACACGTTTTACGCGTACTCCACGGCTGACGTGGGGACAGTTCTCGCCAGTCTTCCCGCAATAGATGGGGACAATGGTACCTTTGGTAAGTCTTATGGTATAAAACATGCAAATTGATTGCATCCAACAATTAAGCTACAGATTTGTGATCAGCAATTGGTCATCAAAAACGGCGGTCCCCAATTTAAGTTTTCCTTTATATTTCTCATCTTTTGTCGACAAAATATAATTGAAACATTATTTACTCAATATTACTCCTTATTTTAGGTGATATAACCTACACAATAGATCAGTCGTCGACAGGAGGTAACTATTTCGGGATATCAAACACTGGAGACCTGTTTGTAGCGTCCAGTCTGGCGGGGTTCTCGTCAGGACAAACGCTGGCGGTCACTCTTACTGCCACAGACGGTGGTGGTCTTACAGACACCGCCACCGTAACATTGGTGGTTCCTGCAGTCACCACCACGACTGCCACGACCACCACTGACCGCTACATGACTTTCTTTGACGACACACGTAACGTGGCTTGGTTTGTTACATGCCTGGTGATAGCGCTGGGTCTGTTAACACTGAATGCCTACTTCATCGCCAGATATGTCGACTTCACCAGGATAAAACGGGTGTGCGAGAAGATGTGTCGAAGGAAGAGAAGATGGAAACCGTATGGCTCATTTTTTTCAATCACAAACATTTATATATTTTATAGGAGTTAATTCGGTGCAGAGCGTTCATGTTAATTATAAAACATTATTTGATTGAAGAATATGTCTCCTCTTTCTATTTCAGAAAAAGACAAATCATTTCCAGAGAACCAACTCCACCTACCCCGATTCCCTGTAGGTATTAAGTCAAGATTGACTCTTTACCTTCTAGTTTCAACATGAAATGACTGTGATTTGTGTTATGATTTCATTATTTTCTTTTTTTTTTATTTTATATTGCTGTCCTGTGTGTGTGTTTGTTTACTATTCTATAAGTGTACTTCAGTAATTACTGATTGTTCTCTGACTATTTTTAAAAATATTTTTACAGATGTTCGAGCTCCAGCGAATTTTGAAACGTGGAATGCATGGAGGATACCAGACACGTTTAATCCGAAATAAGCAACTTTGGATTTTGGCATATAAAATTTCTTCACTTGTTCTTTCTTAGTTAATGAGTTTATACTCATTAATGTCATTTAAAAAATATATTTTGGCAATTTGGAGTGAGGGAAAAGGGATATGATTAGGTGGCCCTGTAGGAGAGAGAGAAACTCTTTCCAAAATTCTATACAACACTATTTATTGATTTTCCCTATCCTGTGACAGACCCTTTTTTCTCAATCGAAAACAGCTGCGATCTTGTTTGAATTCTGTCTTAAATTTGATGTTTATCTAGTATTATTTTAAATTCTTTTTCAAATCGAATGTCCTATTGATATTATATTTTAATTCATGAACGAACACAAATTGCTTCAGTTGTAATGTATGGATGTTTGACTTGATTACCTATAATAATTTGAACCTTGCAGGATTTGTGACGTTTTTTCTCTTTACAAATCTCTTTTAAGATCTTTACATGTTCTCGAAGCTGAATAGTTGAAAGAAATACTGAGTATTTCGCAATTATTTGAATCTTCTTTGACTGTCAGAGTTTTTGAGTGTTGGAGTTTATTGTACAATGACAGTGATGTATTCTTTTACGTGTTTCGAGGGGAGGGACCGAACGGCTTGTAGTTGATGGAATTGTAGTTGCATATCAATCTGTCTCGACATTAACATTTAAAACCTGTTTTAATCACATTTCTGGAAAAAAAATTGTTTCTGTAAACATGTTAACATGTTAATGTTTTTAATTTATGAGTTGTTTTATTTATCACATTTACATTTTTTGTTACATTTGTTGTATTAATTAATAAACACCATTAAATTTTGTAAACAATCATGTATATTGTCTTTCTTTTTCAGTAAAAATTAATTGTAGTGACGTTTTGTAATTTAAAATCGTAATTAATAGGTTGTCTCCTCTTCAGAACTACGTAAAAGAGTGGAAGATGGTCTATGCCGCTGTTGAGGGAAAAAATCACATTATAGATAAATTGTGGTGTCTTTGTTTGTTTTTATGCAAAATTTGTACATGACAATTAATTGTCATTATTGTACCAATTTTGCATAAGAACTCTCAAAACTTTTGATAAAAGATACTGAATCTGTACATTTTGTCAAAAATTGAAAATAGTTTTTAGATTTGATCAAAAAAAAAAAAACAAACAAACAAACAAAACAGGATTTGTATTTTAATGACCCCTAAGGGTAGGCATCATCGCAAACCACGGGTGCTGAGTGAACACGTTACCGTTGGACCTCTGGCATATTTCATGCAATCATGGGCTGACTGCAGCAACGTCTTTCCGAAAAATTACAAATCTTGATCGTTTTTCTTATCACTCAACCAATCATATTAATTGATAAACAACTTGTAACACTTGCATAAGCATTCATTTCATTGGTGCTTCCCAATGAGAGAAGAAAACTAACGAATATTGAATAAAATATACCAGGGGTCCAACGGCAACGTGTCGACTCAGGATCCTTGGTTGCATGAAAACTTCAGAACACAATAACAAATACGTGTAGATACAAAAACCACTCCCTTAAATTTTTTATGAACAAATACTATTAAAATCTAAAAAGAAAAAAAATCCTTAAAATAGCTGGACAACTGATTTTGAGCTTGTAAATTGTGTTTTATGCATAGGCCCATCTATTAAGAATACGGATGGTTTTTTGGTTTTTTTTTTGGTTTTTGGTTTTTTTTTGAGATACTATATCTCTTGAGCAGATTATCTTTCGAGGTTTAAATGGCCGTTAAAAATATACCATTTGTTTGCGAAATACCTTGATTATTGAGAAGAGCTCAGTTTCACAAACTTATTAAGAAGTTCTCTCGAGTCTTTTTGATCTGCTGAAGATTGCCTTAAGAATTATATAGTATAAAGCCTGTGCCTGAGTGAAGATGACTAAGAATTTGCATAAAATCGCTGAGTAGAAGGTTAGGGGGAGATAAATTGATTATTTACTTTATTTACTAAATTAAGGACCCTCTCTACACCAGTGCAAAGTATTTTTTGGACATTGAGAAAAAATTATTGCATAAAGGAGTTAATATTGTGCTTATCTATGTAATTTTCAATGTATGGTGCGTGGCATTTACCCCCGGGAAAAATGTTCAAAGACAACACAGTATCAGTGAATAGATATCGCTGTTAATTACTTCAATAGAGAAAATACATGTAAATAACACGTTCAGTTAATTTATCCTGGCCTTTTAAAATGTTGAGAATACTAGTACTTGAATTGATTACAAATTGAGTAATATTGTGTAAGTGTCTATTTTTTAGAATTTAGTTCTAAGGGCAGATAACCCTTTAGAATCAGAACTCTTTAGTGTGCAGTGTAGAGAGGTTTCTTAAGCTGCACATAATCTGGGTTACGATGAATTTACGAGATCCAAGGGATCCAAGACACTGTAAAAGTTTCAGCATCAGCATAAAAGTGCAGTTAATAGATTTATACATTGTAGTTCTATTTGTTTCATTAAAATGTTTTGTGTAGAAGACCTTCCCTTCCAGCGATTGAAGATGTAGAATTTACAAAAGGTGAAAGAGAATTTTGATCGCTGAAATAAAAAGACTTTTTTCTGATTTCAGAAGATTCCAGTATTTGGTGACTGCATTATCACTGATTAAGTCAGAAAACTTTACTATCCGTGATTGTATGAACTGTTAATTTTTAATCCTATGACTTGTAATTTTTAAAACTGTGAGGAGGATCTATCCTTTGTGCTACAGATATAGATACGTTGAATTGTAATTGTAATAATTGGAATTCACCTATCACCTTGTTTGTTTGAATTTTATTCGCAATGCATCAAATATCTTTTTTGGCCGGTTGCGTATCTATGGCTCAGATAAGTACAGCTCAGTGGTTGATCCGTGGATCACGTAAGCCGGGTTTAAACCCCAGTTGAGTCGGGATTACCTGAGTAGCATTTCTGTTGCACGCTATAAAATTGAGTAAGGTTTACCTAATCTTGACTTACTCGTATAAAATGTTAAAGGAAAATGGGTGTCCTAATATTACAGCACTATAAAACAAGTTTTAATACTAGTAACTGGTTGAATAATACTAGTAACTGGTTGAAAAAGGATATATTTAAAAACAATCATATAAATTGATGTTAAATTGTAAATTGAAAATGCTGAAAAAATGCAATACAATTTACATGATTTAATTCAAATCACGGGCATATTTCATCGAAACTCAAACCATAGGAAAATACAGTGTATAAACATGCAAACAGAATACAGCTTTTGCAAAAGACTGAAGAGAAGAAAACATGGATGGGGTCTTTAGAATAAGTAATTTAGAAACGATATCAAAAAACAATAAACAGGTAAATAATAAAGGAAAAATGTATAAATTCCGATTTTTAGACTAAAATCAAACGAAAAAAACTTATAAGACATTTTTTTAAGAAAACACATTATCATTATTACCTCCCCCCCGGCCCGGTTCCTCCGATCCGACCCTGTAGATAGCCTGATTAACTGATAACTGAATGACTTCTAATCTTCAGGAAATTGGGCATTATTAGAAATTATTGGAATGTGTATCACCAGCTGTTCAAAAGTGTAAAGTTCGTAACTGATTTAAATTTGGTATATTAGAAAGTTTCTATAAAATTCCTGATTATGTACATTTATGCATTTTAATTAAAAGTATCTTCCAAAACTTTGTAATACAGATACATCAGTGTTAAAACGGCACATTGAACAGCTGTTGAAGAGGTGTGCAAAAAGAAAAATCCCCATGCAACATGGCCAAAAAATTATTTTGTAGAATAGCTTTTTTTAATACTGCAAAATCAATCAATGCAATCATCATTGCAATAAAACATTTCTGCGACATCGAAATATTTCAAAATATCGAAATTTTCTATCCAAAAATACATGGAAACCTTGTAAAGCTGGGTTTAAACCACCCCTACACCAGGTTCAGAATTTACCGTAATTCTGAGCCGTACTCAGCCAATCCTTACATGCGTGCAACGCGAAAACTTGGATTTAAACCCGGAATCATGGATCGTAGATTTAAATCTGAGATACGCAACCGGTCATTTGCGTTGTATTGGTCAAGAAAAAGGACGTTTATTTAGACAAAATATGTCCTTGAGCAAATTAATTTTCTAGATTTGAGTGGCTATTAAAAATGAACCATTCGTTCTTGAAACACTGTGATTAGCAAGAAGGTTTCAGTCTCACTAGATTATTGATAGGTGATCTCGAATCTTTCTGAACTGCTATAGCTTGCCTTAAGACTTATATAGTATAAAGGTTGTGTCTGAGTGAAGATTACTGAGAATTTGCATAAAATCACTGAGTAGAAGGTTAGGTGGAGATAACTTGAACACTTATTATAGAAATATTATGAAAAACTAAGGAATGTGTTTGTGGCTTAAAACCATATAGGTAATTAAGCTGCACATAATCATCTGTAAAAATTTCTATCAGGAAACTAATTGTGCGGACATTTCCGGGTTAAATTACAATAAATTAACTTTATTGGACTACAGATCATTGCTCATCAAATATTAGAGACGAGTGTTGCTTCATATAATTTCAGATGCTGGTTATCAACGAAATTCAGTTTCAAAAATAATTGTTCATTGTTAATGACAAGTACTCAAGATTACTCTTTTATTGACTGAATAAAGCCTAAATCAGAATAAAGGCCTGTTCTTGAGTGATGGTGACTGAGCCTTTGTTAGTTTGTATTATAAACCATGAAGTTGAAAGTTAAGGGAAGATAATTAACTTGAGCACTATTAATACAAAAGTTTCAAAAATAACGTCCATGTTGTTAATTGAGATAAGAGGTATGTATGGCACTGCACACAGCATCAGCATAATTTTAGATTTGTACATTGTATGTCCATTTCTGTTTCATTAAAGACGCTTTAAGGTGTAATATGTTATTTCCTATCTAGCTTGTAACACGAGCTTTGATTGGTTACAAAGTGATATCCCGAGAGAGTCACAATGCATAGTTTTTCTATAATACAAAGCAAATCGATATGTTGATCTTTGTTATGGGTACAAAGGAAATAAATTCGTTATCCAGGTTCAATCAAGAAATTTACCCCGCTGAGGCCGAAGGCCTCAGGGTGTATGGAATACAACCCGGGGTAAATCCCCGTACACCCTTGATTGAACCTGGATAACTAATAATATCCCTCTGATAAGAGAGATAACTTTCTGAAGATTTTTTCCAATGAAATTCGATGAACTGTCTCTCAGTTAGTACAATCAACTCAATAGTCAACTCATACAAATCTTATCTAATGTACAGATGTTGATTTCTAGTTTCTATTGCCAATATTTTCATTAATCATCTATAATAGTTTACCTAAAACATTCATACTAAGTTTCTTTAAACTGTAAAAATTGAGATATTCCTATCTCTTAACGTATAAGTCTTTCAATTGTTTCAGAAATTTCAGATGCAGAATTGTCTATAAACATTTAATTAATATTTTGTTTCACTAAAAAATATTTTCAAGGGCGGAAATGGACAGATAATTCTAGTTGATGGATGCATATCATTTTACAAGCACAGAAAACAATTTGATATTCTATTTTAAAAAGCAACGCTTCATTATGTTTTCTAATCAGAATTAGATAGGAATGACATTAATTAAACATTATTTTCAAATATATACCTCATAATTTTACTTTTATTGTGAGATAAAAAAAAATTATTGATATGTCTAATTACCATATTATTTTCTTAATATCATGATTAGACATAATATTCATTTCTGAATAAGTAAACAACGCTTCATACTTCACACTTTTTTTCCATTTGAATCATATTCTATTGTTATTGATGAAAATCAATGTTTAGAATTTAAAAAAAAAATGGTGAAATTTGGAGCAGAGGGATATTTCACCTTTTAAAAAGAAGACATCTCCTTCTTGTAATTCACAGAAGAAGCCCCCCCCCCCCTTTCTTTCTCGTACTTCTGTTTGTTTGAATTTCATTGGCAATGTATCGAATTCTTTTGATATTATAATTATATAAAGACACAAATTGATTTAATTCTGATTTTCTGGGCCTGCGTGAAAGGCACGAAACCATGCAGGAGTAAAAGAATATGACAGAAATGAAAAATGTGAGAGGGATCATTGTGCGTGCCATATTATGGCACGCCAAATTCACAAAAATGAGATAAACCTAGTTTCACAATTGATAAACTAGGTTTATCGACTGTAAACTATAGTTTACAAACCGTAAACTATAGTTAACGATTCGTTAAGTATAGTTAACGATTCGTTAAGTATAGTTTTCATCTGTAAAACTATATTTAACGGTTGTTAACTATAGTTTACGAGTGCTAATCTATGTTTATCTGTCTGTAATAAGCGTTAACAATAGATTTTGTTGATAAACATAGATTCACGTTTGTAAACTATAGTTTACAATCGTAAACTATAGTTAAGAGTTGTTAATCATAGTTTCACAAATTGTGAAACTATATTTATCAGATCGTTAACTATAGTTAACGGTTTGTAAACTATAGTTTACAAATCGTGAAACTGTATTTATCAGATAATCTCTGTTTTGCAATCGCAAATGATTGTTTTCGGTGTTAAGTATAGTTTACGGTTGTGAAGCATAGATTATCGCGTTAACTATGGTTTACAGACGTAAAATATAGATTAACGTTGTTGACTATAGTTTACAGTCCGTAAACTATAGTTTACAACCGATAAACCTAGTTTATCAATTGTGAAACTATGATTAGCTCACTTTTTGTGAATTTGGCGTGCCATACATTGTAGATCCTTTATCATGTTTATGCTACAGATAAAGATATATTGACTTGTAACTCAGGGTAGAAGCCCCTCCCCCCCTTTTTTTTCTCGTGCTTGTTTGATTTTCTGGGCCGAGTGAAATACATGAAACCTGGAGAACACCATAACAAATAGATAAAAATAACACTCCTAAATTACTTATCAACAAATAATTTTAAAATTAAGAAATTTAAAAAAAAAACTCCGTAAAAGAGCAAAATGCAATTCATGGATCAAGACCAATACATGGATCTTCATTCAAATTTTCTGATCGTTATCAATATAAAGAGACAAACCAAAACTCAGCTCATTATCTAAAAGCACTCAGGGAAAGGGATATTCACTATGTGTACCGACCATTTCCTGACAGAGACATAAAGATTTTGAGTTGGTATATTGGGTATATCTTTATGCATGGTATTGGTCAAGAAAAAGGACGTTTTTGAGACACAATTTCTCCTTGAGCAGATTTTTTTTTGAGGTTTGATGATTAATGAACTGGTAATTTTTAATCCATAGACTATACATGTATAAGTATAAGAGAGCCAGGAGTAAAAGAATTTGACAGAAAGGAAAAAAAATGTTTGGAGGATCATAGTATATACGTTATGCTACAGATATAGGTATGATGACCATATTGAACGAGACTGCTGATATTCTTGCTTCATCAATTTGTAATTCATTTACTGTATACAGGGTTATTTTCGCCCTGTATTATTTTCGCCTTTCACATTTGCAAACAATTTGCATTATTGGCCCCGTTTTAATTTCGCCCAGTCACAGTTTCTTTTCAGAAATTATATAGTGTTCTTTAAATTCGCCCTGTTTTAAATTCGCCTATATGTAAGTAGGGCGAAAATAAAACGTGGGCGAAAATTTCCCTGTATACAGTATCTAAATGTTGAGTTGAAAGCCAAAGCATTTTTTTATTCTTCTTATACCAATTAGAAGTTTTGTTTAAATTCAGAGTATAAACTTGAAGTAATTTGTTCATGATGACCAATCAAAAGATGTGAAAAACTTATTGAAGGGACAGCTCTAGGTGTCTATGTTTATAAGGTTTTTATTTTTGTCAATATATATGGTATAAGAAAATACACAAGGATATTTTTTAATTATACCGTGTATGGACAAATATTATGTCTTGATACATGTACAAGAACAGTCCGAATATAGACATGATAGATACATGCATTTAAATTTCCCAGTTGGTAGTTAGGCGGGAGGGGGATGCGCTGTTGTAGATACCTGTGCTGGATAACAGTATGTGAGTAACTTTAGGCCGCTTACTAGTGGTCCGGGGGACACGGATTCAATTTCCAGTCAAGACATTTTTTCCTCCATTGTCACAATACAATATGATATATAGACGAAGGAATATTCCGTACCCAGCAACTCTTACCTAATTCACCATCTTCCAAAAAGGGACCCTCTTTGGAAGATGATGAATATTAGGTGAGAGTTGTGGCGAATGGGTCTCTTTTCTTATACTTAGTTTGTAGGCCTTTTTTTTTTTAGCAAGACGTTCTACTTTGTTCTTTTGATTTGAAATTAATTATAATTTTGTCCAATTTCTGATTGGAGGACCATAATTCAATACTTTTTACAAGAGGTTTATATATCACAGGCACCTGACGTTACTTATTTTTCTTTTAATAAAAAAAGATTATTTATGTGAAAACAAATATTCTAATAAATTAAAACTTAATGCAAAATATCAGTTTAACAAAAGCAGTAATTAAATGCTCATTTTCTCATTCATTCTTTTTCGTTGTTGGGCGAAACTTAGTTAGAATAATCTAACTGTGTCTCGGTACAACCGGGTCCGTAGGACAATATCATTTTAACGACAGAACATTCTATCTAGGCGGAACTATGTACAGGCTCTGTGCGAAACATTTTAAGAACGTATTGACTTTATTTGTGTTTTGAAATATCACGTGACCATGCTTGTTTTTCTCCCGCCGATTGTCACACGTGGTGACGTGCTCGACAAAGTGTAACGTTTAAGGTAAAATTATTGATAAATCTTCAGTTTGTGGGTTCTCACCATATGACATATATAATATACTTTGAACTAGCATTTCCTGCAGTATAGAAAGATAACAAAGAACTTACAACACTTACCAAAATCAGGGACTAGATCAGTTTAGAATGTTTAAGAAGCACGATTAAGTACATGTAATATTTTTGCAAAAGTAAAGCATAACACGTGATAAATTTAAATTAAAATATAAATCTCGTCTGATGCTTTTGTATGATTAAAAAAAAATGCTGAACGGGTCTTTGACTGGAAATCTAATATAGATCACTGGTTTAATATCAGAGTTCTTGAAATCTTTTTTTTCGCTGTCAGTCATTTGGACTGACTGCCATGTGAAGTTTGTCAGTCCAGACAGATTTCTATCAGTCCAAAATAAATTCAATAAAAACATGAAAATTGTATCTAAATTTTATTACAAAAAACACGGCGTCTATATTATAAACACTGCACACTTCTTACCCTAGGGCCATAAACAAACTTGTTTTAACAGTTTACCAATCATAGTTACTGTAATAGTTTGGCACAAGCTAGAATAATCTGTGTCTCGGAACAAGTCCTCACAACAGTTATACTCGCAATGTAGCAAATAATTACAGAATTGCTCCGAAACGAATTTGAAGTATACAAAAGGATTTGCACTGGAAATAACTTAAAAATTTATAACAACAAACCTTTTTTAGGTCGCTTATGCCTTCAAACCTAAATTATGATCCAAATAAAGACGATAATTCAACTAATTTTTCTTACGTTTTTTCTCTCTTAAAATTTACACGGCACGTTTGCATTCAGAACTCTCTGGAATCTTCGTAGTAAATGTACTGAGTTCGATTTATTGCCCATGTTTATTTTGCTAAATAGTGAATATACGGATCAAACTGGGTCCGTAGAACATTTATCATTTTAACGATAGAACATTGTCTCTAAATTTGCTCTTGTATCAATCGAGAAGCCATTACAACATGCGGAAAAAGCGTTTGAAAGATTACGATCAGTCGATTAAAGGGAATTTGTACGAAATTTAGTAGATTTTCGCAAGTTCCTCTGTCAACACCGTCCGGTCATTTGGACTGACACAGAACTGAAAGTAATCGGTCCTTGGTTGTTTTTATCGGTTTTGCCGACAGGACCGAAAGATTTCAAGAACTCTGGTTTAATTGTTGCAGCCAGAAGGATGTCCGTAAAACTGAAGAAAACCATCCGGGAGAAGATAGAAGATATAAAGAACCAGAGAGATGTGATTGTTGCCTTTCTAGATGAATTTGTTGCAGAGGTATAATACATTTACCAGGTTCATCCTTGGAATCAATCACCCAAATGCCTGAAATGGGGTATAATAACCCGTTTGGGATATTTATATTATCCCATGTTTAACCCTTTATCTGTTTATCCTGTGGATATGGCTCATTGGATATTGTTTTGATATCCCATAGTCATGATGTCCCAATGGGTTTTGCTTAAATGTGATGATTCAGAAGTAAAATAAAGTAGAGTCCTTATATATAAAGTGTAAAGTGGCAAAAAAATATTTTTGCTGTAAATATTATAAATCTGCATCAGATACCTATGAATTTTGGAAGATTTGACAAGCAAGTTTTCTGCAACCCATGAGTTTGTTAGATTGCCCTCCAAGAATTTAAGAAACCTTTTAGGGATCAATTTCCTAAACAGTGGACATACAGAATAACTTGTTAACCAAAATGTTTTCCTTTTCAGCTTTGAAGCATGTTTGTCTGTCTGTCTGTAAGTTTCACATTTTGGATTCTTCTCCAGAACCACTGGGCCAATTTCAACCATACTTGTCACAAGACATCAATGAGTCAAAGGGGATTAAATTTTGTTCAATTGAAAGGCCAAGCCCTCATTCAAGGGGAGATAATTCAGAAATAATGAAAATTTCATTTGGTAGCAAATTCTCCTCAATAATCACTTAGCTAAAAAAGTTGAAACTTAAAGGAATTCTTTACCGAGTGTTAATTAAAGTTTGTTCACATTTTCAACTTCTTAAGAACCACTGGGCCAATTTCAACCGAACTTGACACCGAGTATCCTTGGTTAAAAGTCTTCTCGAGAACAGCAGAGCCATGATTGGTCATGATAAGAAAAATCTTTTAAAGTTTTCTCAAGAACAACAAAGCCATAATTGGTCATATTTATATGGAAGCATCCCTAGGTAGTATAGATTCAACTTTGTTCAATTCATGACCCAAGGGGGTAGAGTGGGGCCACAATACGAGGGTTGATCCAAAAGTTCGTGGAATTTCTTTCTAAAATTTTATCATAATTTGATGAAAGCAAACAACAGATATATCCATAATATAGAGTCATAATGCAACAATATTGGAAAATTTCACCGCTTTCCAATTACCAATAAGGTCACACGAGCTTTCTGAAAATGGACAGTTGTGAAACCCGGGGAGACTTCGACGTAAAGTCAAGTTAGATATGTCACGTCACGGTATAGAAGCATCTAGCCCAAATGTCCAATTTGAACATGTAATTCTCCAAAATGCTGCCTTTTCTATATTTTTTTCTCAAGAAAAGTCTGAGTATCCTCTCGCACCAAGTTATATTCATTTTTCACTCATATTTCAAGATACTCCAAATCTTTCCATATGATGTTCCAATTTCAGTAGCAATGTCAAGAACAGTATGGCAGCCGACAACGTCCATTTTTAATTTGTTTTGGGTGATATGCACTTAAAACAGAGCCTCCAAAAAAGCGACCTCGCCTTTAATCAATGTCCATGGAAATTCTATTTTTCGTAAATTTCTTATGCTACTGGAAAACCATTAACTAAATGCATTTTTCCCAAGCCTATGTCAGGAATATAAGCATTTAAGACAGATTGATTTCGGGATTTTCACAAAACCTATGACTTGACCGAAATTTGACATTGTCTAACAACCTTAAGATGAACAATAAATCATTAGCTAATAAACAAAAGATCCAGTAAAATCAGTTAAACTCTCACACAAAGGTTTATAAAAGATATAGCAAGTGTAATAATGACATAATTTTCGTTTTATATACCACATAGGGTGGTTTAATTCTCATTTCACGTACCAAGAATTAAAATGATAATAAACGAGATAACGTCTCCCCCGCATTTCCAAACAACCATTTCTATGGCAACTGCCATAGAGTTACTTTCAAAGATATTGACAATATTTTTTAATTTAAAATAACCACCAAGTGTCTACATTTTCATTTGTAATTTTCAACCAATTCCACTTAAAAATAAATAAATTATGAAGAAATTCCACGAACTTTTGGATCAACCCTCGTACATGATCAAAGTTTTCCATTGGAACACATAGGAAAAATCTTTAAAACATATTTTTGCTACAGGCTGAGTCTAAAGCCGAATCCTTGCTGTCCACTCGGGACACTGGTCAGTTTAATCAGAGATATGTTGAGGTCATGCAGCACCTGGACCGGTGCTATCACACCTTTGTCCTCCTGTCTGCCGAAGCAGAGGAAAAAATAGGTAGGTTTCCTATTCCAGTATCGCTTGGTCATTATAAGGGCCCTGTGGATTTTCTTTTGTCATTATTATCCTGGCAATGAAATTATAACATTAAATTTAAAAGTGATGAAATGCTAAAAATGACATATTATTTTGTTGCTTAACAGTATTGTCAATGAATTCTAGGCTTTTGAACACTTAACTAATTCTAAAACTAGTTGCAACCATTGAATTTTGGTACATTATTTTGGATGAAGGGGCAAGTAAATGGAAATTTCTTAGTTCTCAGAAATAAAATGTAAATTTTTTTTGTCTGGTCAGTAAATTTGGAACAAGATAAATTTTAGGAGTATAAACATTATTAACATATGACATAAAGATGGCTGATAAGAGCACATGAGGAAATTGAAACTCATACTTAAGTACATGTATTAGGCCCATGGATCTATTACAGGTGGTGGGGGCTTCTACAAGGATGAAGATGATGTATTGAGTGAAGGAATTGATGACCCTCTGACCGGAGCCACGTCACTGTCCAATAGTGGTCCTCACACAGATACACCAAAGAAGATTCAGCGAGCCACAAATCAGTGTCAACTTCAAACCAACACTCTGTGTCAGTCTGTACCCAAGCAAGCTGACAGCCGGTCTCTATCCAAGAATACTGCAAGTCAGTCCCAAACCAAGAACACTGATAGTAACTCATCCAGCAAAAAGGAGAAAAGTTATGATAAATCTGTTCAAAAAGACAGTAAGAAAGAAATTCTTTTGGGGGATAGTACATTTGAAAATGAGAAAACTGGAGTAGTGGAATCTAAAAACCTTGACTTTGATGCTCCTTTAAGTCCATGTACAGTCACTAAGTTGGATGTACCGCAGGCCTCAGGTGCAGTATGTGATGGTAGAGATGTGAATCTCAATACAGAGGTGAATAAGCCTACATGTGAGAAGGGTGTATTTAGTGTGGTCCAGCCAGAACAGAAGACAATTAAAACAGGTCTAGTGTATATTACATCCTCTGATTATTGGAAACTTGTTTAAATTTTATCTTCAGTTTAGTTCTTAGTTTATGGAAATGTACTTGTATATGTACTAAATACCAATTTGACTGATATTGACCAGCTGTTGTTTCTTGTTTTGCATTTAAATTAATAAATTTTATTTACAGATCCCCTTGATGATTCAGCTGAAAGATGTGGCAACCTGAATGAGGTATTTATAGCTCACCTGAAACAAAGCTCATTTACATGTAGTTTGAGACTTTGGTATCAACTTTTACTTTAAATTTGACAAATTAAGCTTCATAACTTTTCATGACTTACATGGAGGTTATAACTTTGTTTTTGTTGACCTTTTCTGCAGACAAAAGGTCCTCTTTGTCCCGCTGCACTGTCTGCAGATTCTGATTCCACTCAGGGCATGAGGACAGGTCAACCTCGGCTGGACATTGAAGTGGCCCGGCGCTTCCTACAAGGTATTCTTAACCAGGCTAATGAGGACAACTTAAAACTGGATCAAGGTTAGAAAATATAATATGGGTGAATTATTTTTGGTCATCTATAACTTAAATTTGGCTATGATTAGCTAGCTAGCCATTTGAACATGATGAAATGGATATTACAATAACTATCAATTATCGTTGCAAAGTCAAATCTGAAGATCGATTTTTATTGCCACCATTAAAATCTGGATACACTTGGTCACTTTTTTAATATAAAATAATTCTAAAGGTTAATTGTATTTCCAAATGTTGATTTTTCTATTGTAATTTATAGAAAATTAGAAAATCCAAAAATTCTGTCTTCTTCTACTTTATTGCCAATAAACATTTTAAAATTAAAGCCTTCCTTCTTTATATATGTTTTTGAGAAAATTAGCTAAGAACCAAAGAATTCAGTTAATGTGTACTTGAAGAGTATTTCATGTTTCAGAGAAAAAGAAATCTCCAGAACTTAAACTGGAAAAAGATACAAGAACAGAAAAAGAGGAGAAATTTGTTGCAGGCAAATCACTTCAAAATAATATCTCAGTTGACGAAACAAAGAGATCATCCATCTTTACTTGGAAGCTGGATTCTAGTAAAAGTAAGACTGAAGATGATAACAGTAGTGTAAAACAGACTCAATCAGAGGAACATAATTACAAGACAAACCAGAATAACCGGAAGACAGATCACGAGAGAGACAGGCCAGATCACAATAGTGGGAAGACGGACAAATCTGGTGATGCAAAACAGAAAGAAAATGTGACTCGCACCTCAGGACTTCTGAATAAGGAAGTGAAGGAGACCAGAACAAAAACTGATACAACAAAGGACAATGAAGTGATTTTAGAGCAAATAACGAATACGACACAATCAGAAGAAAGTAGGGAAAGTGAAGTTATATCACCAAAGTCTGGCTCGGATGAACAGATCCAATCCGCCAGTGTAAAGTGTATCATTGAGGATTTATCAGAAGAGACACGAGTAAAGTCTAGTCAAAGTAAGCCTGTCAGTGATGGAGCAAGTGGTGAAGATGTGTGTAAACTTAGTAGTCTATCATCTGAAGATGTGTGTAAACTTAGTAGTCTGTCATCTGAAGATGTGTGTAAACTTGGTAATCTGTCATCTGAGGTCAGCAAAGATAAGGAAGACTCTATCCCTGGACCAGATCTTTCTTATGAAGTCCTAGAGAATAGTAAAATATACAGTGTTATTGTCAGCGAGGCCATCAGTCCGTGGTCGTTCTATGTTCAAAAGTTCACCTCTGACCTGGATGACCTTATGAAGGATTTACG